GAGGGGTGGGGGGTGGGGGATGGGGGTGTGTGGATGGGGGTGAGGGGTGGGGGATGGGGGTGTGTGGATGGGGGTTAAGGTGAAGGTGGGGGATGAGGTGCCAGTCCCCATGATGTGGTGAGGAGGGGGTTATATTCTGTGAGAGCACACTCTCCCCATCACTGTCAGTCCTGGGGGAGCTCCCCATGTGAATTCCCAGCTGCTCATTGACTGCAGTGGAGAGGCAGTGACAGCACCACCCAGCGTACGGGAGGACCACACACACCCTCCGCCCTGACTCCTCCCAGGGGAAGCGGGGGGTGGGTCAGGATTGTCTGCTCGACCGCTCTCAACCCCGGGTACCGTCCGGATTCCCGTCCGGGTGGGAGCCCGGAAGATTGTTCGCTGCGAGTTTTGGTTCCGGATCCGTGTGAAAGGGCCGCCGTCACTATCTCGGAGCGGAGCGTGGGGATGCGGAGTGGGCCCGGGGCCCGCTCGGAGGCTGGTGACAGACTGGTCCGGGAGTTCCTGCAGAGCGGAGCCACCGTGAGGTGAGGTCTGGGCGGCTGGCAGTGACCGGCCTCTCTCCCTGCCCAGGTCTGGGAGACTATCCCCCACCATTGGCCTCTCCATAACCAACCCTCAGTGAGGCTCCATGGTGGCCATTCTTTACAGACCCGGGTGGGGAGAGGACCCGCGAGCTATTCGACTGCTGGGGGCATCCTGTTTGGTTTATTCTCTTCAGGATGTGGAATCCTCTTGCTTATCCTCTTTGATATTTTCCTAACGGACTTGTTTGGAGATGTTATGAAGAGTCTGCTGGTCCAGAGGCAGAGTCACTACCGCTGCACCACAAGAGCTTTCAAGCTGAACCTCCAGAGGGAACTGAGGTCAGTTGTCACAGCCCATCTACTGTCACAGCTGAGATCACCTTACTCAGAGGACTGGGGTTGTGATGGGACCAGTTGTGGTTGTATGGTTCTCTTCCAAGAGAGCCAACAATGAATGGGCTGAAAACCCTTCTGAAAAGTACAAGTCAATGCGCTCAGCACTGAAGAGGACTGGACTTTTTATGCCTGATGGGATGCCCAAGTTCGTGGAAGTACTAGTATTTTGTGTGGATCACTGGGTAGCAGGGCTATCTTCCCAAATGCATCCTGACAACCAACAAGTGCCTCCTTGTTTATAGCAAGGGCAGTTGGGAAGGTAGTGTCATCCAAACTGAAAATCTGTAGATCACTGGGTAGCAGGGCTATCTGCCCAAATGCATCCTGACAATCAGCAAGTGCCTCCTCGTTTGTAGGAAGGGCAGTCGGGAAGGTAGTGTCATCCAAACTGAAAATCTGTAGAATACAGAATATTTGCAGAAAACACTTGTCTTGGCCAATTCATCAAACAGCATCACTGAGGGGGGATAAAAAATTCAGATCATTATTCATTTGCTGTTTGTTAGAACTTGCTGTGTGTAAATTGGCTGCTGGAACTACACTTTAACAAATAGTTAATTGGTATTAAAGAACACTGAGATCTCCTGAGGCTTTGAAGCGTGCTGTACCGATGTTGTCTCATGAACCAGCATGTAAAATAAACTTCAGAAAGAACAGTGAGGTGAAGATTTGGGAATTTAAGACATAATTGAGTGCTATAAAGAGGTAAATGTTACCATGCCTTTGGATAAGTGAATTAAGGTGGATAGAATAGGACTTCCATCTGCGATAATTTTGTAAATTCTTCTGCATTGTTCAATTATCCAGGTAATTTTATCCAGGTAATTTTCTGACAACTAATTCTGAATGCTTTTTACTATTGAAAGCAATATACAGTTGTTGTTTTCAGTGTATTTCCCCCTATATTTCCAAATCCAGATAATGTGGGGCTTAGAGGGGAAAATAGACGTTGTGTGGTCCCACACAACTCCTGCCCTTGTCCTAGTGGATAGACAGGTCACAGGAGATGCTGTCAAAAAGTTTTGGCTGCAAGAAAATAAAAATGTGTTTATTATTTTACAGAACCAGAATGATGAAGAACTGGGGTGTTATCGGAGGAATAGCTGCAGCCTTGGCAGCAAGTATCTACGTGTTGTGGGGACCACTTACTGATAGGAAGAAGCGCAGAAAAGGTAGTGTATACAAGAAATGTGCCTGTCAGTAATTGCACTGAGTTCTTTCTTTTCCTCGTATTTTATGTTCCTTGTTCTGAGTGTATTTATACAGCATGTGCCCTACCCTGCCAATGTTTATTCTCAAACATTCATGCCTCTTTCCATAATGTAAAATAGATAATTACATCTTTTAAACTGTTGCAGTGCTTTTTCTCAGTGTCTTACTGATAAGTTGATGTGGCAGAATGTGTCTTTTCTGGTGTGAAATCATATTGTAAGAAGCTACTACAAGTACAGGATGTACCCACACTCTCTCACTGCCTTGATATAGCTTTAAAAATCAATATAAGTGATGCGCAAGCACGTAAGATGTTGCTGAGAAATAAATGAATTAACTTCAGCTGAAACAATTTGTGATTTTATAATCTGTGACATTTGAAGGTTTATTTTTCCTAACCTGGTTTTCTTAGAATACGGTGTACTTAAAGGAAGTTTTTTTTTGTTTCAAAATCAGAATCTTTTTAAATTAAGTAATTATGACTTAGATTAGTGGTGTTTTGATTAATCAACTTTAAGTGTTGATAACACTAGTTATTGCAAAATGAGCCTAGAATTTTTCTTCGAGTGAGAACTGTTCTCCATAGAATAATGGTTAAATTGTATGAAGTAGCAGCAAAAATAAATCCTCTGACTTCTTTTGCCTGCTCCACCGCTCAGTAACATCGTATCTGTACTGCTGCATCAACTCCACTTGCCTCTCTATCCTTCAATTCCAATAGTGCTTAAAAATCCATCAATCTCAGACTTAAATATACTCAACGGAACTAGAGAATGCCAAAGATTCAATATGGCCCGAACTAACAAATTTCTTCTCATTCCAATTTGAAGTGGTCGCCATCTTATTCTTGATTTGTGACGCCTAGTTGCCCAAGCCAGCACAAACAGCCTCTCAGTATTTATCCTGTCAGCCATCTCAGAGTGCTGGACATCACAATGAGTCCTCCCTTCATTCTTCCAAACTCTTGAGTTTGTCAGCCCATTTCATTAATGCCTTCTGTCCTTGAAACCAAGATTAAGTCTCTTGAACCTTTGTTACATCCTCCTTAAGGCAAGTATATCCCTTTGTAAGGAGACCTAGACCGTTCATAACACTGTACATATGGGTTTTTCAAAACCCTATATAACCGTGGGAAGACTTTCTTACTGTTAAACCTCAATTCCTCTTTAATAAAGGCCTACATGCTGTTTGCCCTTGTAATTACTTCCCATATCTGCATTTTTTTTATTTTATGTACTAGAACACCTAAATCTCTGTGTACCAAAATTTAGTTTCAACAAAAAAATCTGCATTTCTGTTCTTTCTCCCAAAGTGGATAATTTCGCATTCATAGAGTCATAGAGTCATACAGCATGGAAACACACCCTTTGGTCAAACCAGTCCATACTGAGCATAATCCCAAACTAAACTTGTCCCGCCTGTCTGCTCCTGGCCCATATCCCTCCAAACCTTTCCTATTCATGTACTTGTCCAAATGTAATTGTACCCACATTCACCACTTTCTCAGAAATTTCATTCCACGTGCAAACCACCATCTGTGTAAAATATTTGCTCCTCCTGTCTTTTTGAAATCTCTCTCCTCTCACCTCAAAAATGTACCCCCTAGTCATGAACTCTCCCATCCTAAGGAAAAGACATCTACCATTAACCCTATCTATACCCCTCGTCATTATATAAACTTCTATCAGGTTGCCTCTCGACCTCCTAAGCTCCAGCGAAAAAGTCCCAGCCTTTCCTCATAACTCAAACCTTCCATACCTGGCAACATCCTGGTAAATCTGAACCCTGTCCAGCTTAATAATATCTTTCCTTTCACTGGGCAACCACAACTGGACACAGTATTCCAGAAGAGCCCTCACAAAACCTCAACATTCTTTTAAACTCCATCTGGGATCACCTTACCAATCAATTAACTGCTCTATGTATATTGTGCTGTCTTGTACTTTACTCTGTCGCCTAGCTTTGTAACACTAACAACATGGGATACGTATACTTGCTCCTTCATCTAAATCATTGATACAGATTTGTAAGTAGCGAAGGCTCCAGCACTTCACTAATTACACCTACCATCTCAAAAATAATCAATTTATTCCTGATTTCTGATTTTTAACCACTGGCCCTGCCCATATATTATCTCAAATTTCATAAGCCCTAATCTTCATCGACAGTGTCTTATCAAATGCCGTCTGAAACTTCAACCATACAACAACACAGGGTGGTGGGCTGTGGGGGGAGCTCTTGTGGTTCAATGGTAGTGTCCCTACCTTTGAGCCAGGAGGCCCAGCTTCAGGTCCCATTTGCTCCAGAGGTGTGCCATAACATCCTCGAGAACAGGTTGATTCGAAATATCTGCAGCATCACGGGTTTCCACTTATCTACCCTGCTGGTTACAACCTCAAACAAGCACCCCTGGTAGGTGTGTCCATCATGATATTCCTTTCATAAAGTTGTGTTGATACTGTCTAATCATTTTGTGATTTTTTTTCAAAGTGCCCTTGTTAGCATTTCCTCAACTTCCAGTGAAAGGCAGACTGTCCTATTTCTTCTCCCTTTCCTTCTTTCTTATACTTGATTATACTTGCCACCTTTCAATCAACAAGGAGCGTTCTAGAATCCAGGGATTTCTGGAAGATCAAAATCATAACTATTTCTCCTCTAATTTATTGGGGTCTTGTGGTGCAGGGCCAGAAACTCTGGATTCAAAGGGAAGATGGTGGAAGTGTGGTAATGTCATTGGACTCTGATTTCAGAATCCCAGACTAATGTTCTAAGAATATGGTTTCAAATCCCTCTCTGACAGCTATTGAATTCAAATTTCTTCAAATATCTAGAATTAAAACACAAAACTAACGATTGTGTAATCACTGTCAATTGTTGTAAAAACACAACAGGTTCACTAATTTCCTTAAGAGAAATAAATCTGCCGTCTTTACCTGGTCTGGCCTACGTGTGGCTTCAGACCAACAACATGGTTGATTCATAACTGCCCCCTGGACAATTGGAATGTTGACCCAGCCGGGAGTGCCCACACCCCAGGAATGAATATTTAAAAGAAAAAGTCCCACTGCAGGTCTTGATAATTGGAGGGGGTGCAGCATAGCCACAAAGACTGATAATCAACTTGCAAACCCTTCCAATGTATGCCAAGTAGTAACAGTACAGGTATTTCTGGTCAGTCACAAAATAGAAAGAAACTAGAGCCTTCTCTTGACCATGACTATCTGTTTCTCTGAGCATACAATACATCAGTGTGTTGTTCAGCAACTCTGATGTCTTGAAAGGTTATTTGGCTGGGTAACCAATCTGAATCAAATTTGTGCCAGTATCATGGGATTTGATCCCTGATTGGCTGGGGTAAACTTGGAATCTCCCTCTTTGCCCTACCCATGGTAGAGGTGGAAGTAACGTTTGGGTGGAGACGAAAGGGATGTAGGCTATCAGGTCTTGTGAGGATTTGTCAGCTTTTCTATTAACTTCTTCTGTACACGTTCTTTACTAAAATTAATTACTTTAGATTTCTGACACCCATTAGAGTCTTGGGTCATCACTATTTCACTGGTACTCTTTGTGCTTCACCTGTGAACAGAGGCATCAAATATTTGATTGTGCGAATGCTTTCTTTATTCCCCGCTATAATTACTCCTGTGTTTATCTTTGTTAATTTTTTATTTACTTACAAAAGCTCATACAGTCTGTTTTTATATTTCCCACTTGTTTACTCTTAAATTCTATTTACTCTCTCATTTTCAATTTCTTGGTCACAGAGTCATAGAACACAGAAACAGACCCTTCAGTCCAACTCGTCTGCACCAACCAGACATCCCAATCTGACCTAGTCCCTTTTGCCAGCATTTGGCCCATATCCCTCTAAACCCTTCCTATTCATATATCCATCCAGAGATAGTAGGAACTGCCGACGCTGGAGTCTGAAATAACAAGGTGTAGACTTGGATGAACACAGCAGGCCAGGTAGCATCTGAGGAGCAGGAAAGCTGACGTTTCGGGTCTGGACCCTTCTTCAGAAATGGGGGAGGGGAAGGGGACTCTGAAATAAATAGAGAGAGAGGGGGAGGCGATGATAGAAGGTGGATAAAGGAGCAGATAGATGGAGAGAAGACAGACAGGTCAAGGAGGCGGGGATGGAGCCAGTAAAGGTGAATGTAGGTAGGGAGTTGGGATGGGGGTTGGTCAGTGGGGAGGGAGGGGCGGGTGTGTGGGAGGGAAGACGGAAGGCCAAGGAGGCGGGGATGAGGCTAGTAGATAGGAAGTGGGGGTGGGGGTTGGTCAGTGAGGTGGGAGAAAAGACGGACAGGTCAAGGAGGCGGGGACGAGCTGGGCTGGTCTTGGGATGAGGTCAGGGGAGGGGAGATTTTGAATCTTGTGAAGCCTACATTGAGACCATTGGGCTGCAGGGTTCCCAAGCCTCTGCTTGGTTTCCCCACATTAGCAGTATTGTATCTGCTGTTCCCGATGTGGCCTCCTCTACATTGGGGAAACCAAGCAGAGACTTGGAGAGGGCTTTGTGGAATACCTATGCTCAGTTCGTGACAAATGACTGCACCTCCCAGTCGCGAACCACTTCAACTCCCCCTCCCACTCCTTGGACGACATGTCCATCCTAGGCCGCCTCCAGTGCCACAACGATGCCACCCGAAGGCTGCAGGAACAGCACGTCATATTCCGCTTGGGAACCCTGCAGCCCAATGGTCTCAATGTGGACTTCACAAAATCTCCCCACCCCAGATCTCATCCCTAGACCAGCCCGACTTGTCCGTCTTTTCTCCCACCTATCCGCTCCTCCCACCTCACTGACCAACGCCCACCCCCACTTCCTACCTACCAGCCTCATCCCCACCTCCTTGACCTTGTCTGTCTTTGAACTCCCCCACCCTGGGCAATTTATGCTATTCATGTCGCTCAGGAAGAGCTTGCTAATTGGATATAAAATTGGCTTGATGGCAGGAGACAGAGGGTGGTGGAGGAGGATTGTTTTTCGGACTGAAGGCCTGTGATCAGCAGTGTTCCACAGGGGTCAGTGCTGGGCCAACTTTTGTTTATCATTTATATAAACCATTTGGATGAGAGTTTAAAAGGCATGGTTAGTAAGTTTGTGGATGATGCAAAATTGGTGGTATAATTGACAGTGAAGAAGGTTTTCTAAGATTACAAAGGGATGTTGATCAATTGAGCCATTGGTCTGACGTGTGACAGATGGAGTTTAATTTGGATAAATGTAAGGTATTTGGTAAAACAGACAAGGGCAAGACTTGTACAGTTAATGGTAGGGATCCAGGCAGTGACCTAGAGAGACCAAGGGTTCAGGTACATAGTTCTTTGAAAGTTACATCGCAGGGAGACAGGTTGGTAAAGATGGTGTTTAGCATGCTTGCCTTCATTGCTCAGACCATTGAGTATAGAAGTTGGGATGTCATGTTGAGGTTGTACAGGACGCTGATGAGGCCGCTTTTGGAGTACTGTGTACAGTTCTGGTCAGCCTGCTATAGGAGGGATAAGTATTAACTTAGAGAGGGTTCAGAAAAGAATTACCTGGATGTTGCCAGGACTAGAGGATTTGAATTATAAGGAATAGGCTGGTACTATTTTCACTGAACATGAGATTGAGGAGTGACCTTACAGAGGTGTATAAAATCATGAGGGGCATAGATGAGGTGACTAGCAAAGGTCTTTTCCCTAGGGTGGGGGAATTCAAAACTAGGGGGCTTTTTTTTTTTTTTAAGGCAAGAGTGGAAAGATTTAAAAGAGACCTGAGGGGCAACTTTTTCACAGAGAAGATGGTTTGTACGTGGAATGAACTGCCAGAGGAAGAGATAGATGCAGGTATAGTTACAACATTTAAAAGACATTTGGATAGGCACATGAATAAGAAAGGTTTAGAGGGATATGGGCTAAGCACAGGCAGGTGGAACTAGTTTAGTTTGGGAAAGTTGCTTGGTATGGATGAGTTGGACCCAAAGGGTCCGTTTCCATGCTATATGAGTCTATGACTGTAGAAATTGGTCCCAGTGGTAAAATGGTTGCTGGCCAGAGGACAGAGATCAGGCAGTGTGCCGTAATGACTGCTGCCTAGTGACTCTGGCATCCATCATCATGAAGTGCTTCGAGAGTTTAGTAATGGCATAGATCATCTCCCTGCCCCTACGTTCATTCCTGGAACATCTAGGTAACAAGGACATCTGCATCGGGTTCCTATTTATTGACTTTAGCTCCACCTTCAACACCATAATTCCAACCAAACTCGTCTTCAAACTCTGAGACCTAAGACCCTGCTCTCCCGCCTCCTGTAACTGGATCCTCGATTTCCTGACCTGCAGACTGCAATCTGTAAGGACAGGGGACAACACCTCTTCCACAATAATGCTCAACACCAATGCCCTGCATGGGTGCGTACTCAGCCCCTTACAAGACTGCTGATACACTCACAGCCGTGTGGCCAAATTCAGCTCTAACTCCACTTACAAATTTGCTGATAACACCACCACAATGGGTCGGATCTCAAACAACGAGGAGACAGTGTGCAGGAAGGAGATACGTTAAGGGTGAGGCGTAAAGGCAACAGTCTCTCCCTCAATGTCAGCAAAACAAAGGAGCTGGTCATTGACTTCAGGAAGTGGAGTGGAGGACACGCCCCTGTCTGTATCAGTGGTGCTGGGGTGGAGAACGTCGAGAGCTTCAAGTTCCTGGGAGTAAATATCACCAACAATCTGTCCTGGTCCATCCACATCGACGCTATGGTCAAGAAAGCACACCGACATGTCTACTTCCTCAGGAGGCTGAGGAAATTCAGCATGTCCACGATGACTCTTAATGATTTTTATAGATTTACCATAGAAGGCATCCTATCCAGATGTTTCACAGCTTGATATGGCAACTGCTCTGGCCAAGAAATTACAGAGAGTTGTGAATGCAGCCCAGTCCATCATGTAAACCAGCCTTCCTTCCACTGACTCTGTCTATACTTCCCACTGCCTTGGGAAAGCAGCCAACATAATCAAAGACCCCTCCCACCCCGATTATACTCTCTTCCACCCTCTTCCATCGGGAAGAAGACACAAAAATTTGAAAACATGTACCAACAGATTCAAGAACAGCTTCTTCCCTGCTGTTATCAGACTTATGAACAGTCCTCTCAAATATTAGAGTTGATCTTTCTCTGCACCTTCTCTGTAGCTGTAACACTATATTCTATTACCCTGATGTGCTAATGCAAGGTAAGATTTGTCTGGATAAAACGCAAAACAATACTTTTCACTGCATCTTGGCACATGTGACAATAATAAATCAAAACAAATTAAATTTATATTAATTGGCAAAAGAAGCATAGTGGAGATTATCATGTTTTTAATGCAGGTAGTTATTATGATATGTAATTCCATTGCACTGTCTGAAAAGGTGTTGAAAGTTGACTCAATAGAAACTTTCTAAAGGGATTTAGATAGATAATAAAAAGAGAGACAATTTGCAGGGCTACGAGAAACTGGCAGGGGAGAGCATCTAACTGGCTAGCCATTTCACCAGGCTGGCACAAGTAGAATGGGCCGAATGGCCTCCCACTTTGCCGTAATTACTCCCATGAATCTAGCTCGGAGTGGAAGGAATTGAACACCTTTCATTTGTCTATTGGCTGTGCCATTCCTACATTTGAAATGCATTTGGTTGGTCTCAGATCCCAGGGACAGTCACTATGGGTCTCAATGTTCAGCTGCTGATTGGTGATCATGCTCAGAAGATGTTAGAGTGAGCAAGTGTCTCAGCTGGAGCTGTGGGGGGTGACTTCCCAATTTTGATGCAGGGCACAGATGTCTCTGTCAGCATCTTATCCCATACCGTACCTGACCTTCAGAGCACATCATATAGGGACTGAGCACTGACGATATGAGACCATTCCATTTCCTACTGCTATCACCCCTCGCCCTGAGTGGAAAAATTCATCAACTGAACACAAGAGTCTGCTTCTCTTTTCTTGACCCGTGAATTCTGATGGCATTGTTGAGACGTGTTGTCATCAAGGAATCTCAGAGGTCGGCCGCTGCTGTGGGCTGAAGCTATTGTAGTCATCGATCAGGGCAAGAGGATTCAGCATTGACTAGGGATGTTAATTCAGCTCTGTCAAATGGTCAGGCTCAGTAACCTTGCCAAGCTAATGCTCCCCCATTGTTATCATCAGCATTCTTCCTTTTAAGCAAAAAAAAATCATTTTAAGCAATCAACCAGCTTGAATGAAGCGAAACGGAAAATTGCTTTATCTGAAATCATGATTTTATGTAATTGTTTATTATTTAAGAGTAATCCTGATGGTAAGAAGCTCTGTTTGTTCATCTGTGTCTATTGCATTTCCTATTTTCTTACCCCGCCTTTCTCTTCTCCTCCCCTCTCTCTCTACCCCCTTTCTCCTCTCACTTTCTTTCTTTCATTTTTAAGTGCTGAGATAAAGTAGCATGGAGCAGCCAAATTAGCATTCAGAGAGAGAAAACTCCAATTCCTTGCTCAGCTCTGTCTCACCTCCGGAAGAGCTGTATTGATAGTCGGGTGAATGGAGAGGACTGGACACAGGTTTTCTTCAAGGTTTCGCAGTCAATGAATACGGGATATTTGTTTTTATTTGCTGGAGGAGATTCCTTGAAGTTGCTTGGGGGTGGTTGTAGTATATAGGTTTGAATGTGACTTGCCCCTTTAAGATCACTGCTGCAGCACACTGGTGATAATCCAAGTAATGTAGGTAATTTCTCATAAATTTGCACTTCCCGGGAGGAATGAGACTTAATTTAAACCATTGTCTCATGATTGAAACAAAGTGGGATGAATGCAGAGTGATAGAAACACAGGACTCTAGATTTTGGATTAAGGACTGGTCATAATTTCCCGCTCCCCAGCAATTGAAATCCTGGTGCCAAGGCAACTCAATTGACTGGTACTTGTGTCTCTTCTTTACTAACAGCTTGGAAAGGGCACTTTCAATGCTTTTACTCTTTGATGTACAGGTGCTAAATCAGAGCATTTTGAGATCTATGCAATACGAAGAGAGCAGGGATTTAAGCATTATGTACATAGCCCATGACACATTCAAACAGCCTGATTTTATTATTGGCACAGTTTACTAACTGAATTACTGAGACGTCGTTGTGACTTTGGATATTATTCTTTTCCAGGCCTAGTTCCAGGCCTCTTGAACCTGGGAAACACCTGCTTTATGAACTCGCTGGTCCAGGGTCTGGCTGCTTGTCCGTCCTTCATTCGCTGGCTCGATGATTTTACCAGGCGTTACAACCTGGACAGCCCCCAGGAGGAGCGGTGTCCATATCTTTCTGTCACACTTCTCCGATTGTTGCGAGGTGAGATACTAAAGGGGAAGGGGAGAAGGATCAAGATTCTGTCAGGTAGATTATTTTGTTCAATGTAATCAAGGTGGAAAAGCCAGACTGAGCCAACGGAAATGCCCATTACAAGTTCACCTTTAAAGTTGTCATCGCGCTGTGCTGTTTTATCATTCATTTAATAGCTTATGAATATCACTGGCTAGGCCACCATATGTTCTTCATCCCTAATTGTCCTTCAGGTATTGAGCAGCCTCTGGAACTGCCGTAGTCCATGTAATTTAAATATGTCCACAGTGTTGTTAGAAAGGAGATTCTAGGACTTTGACCCAGTGACAGTGGGAGGAACAGTTCCAACTCAGGAGGGTATGAGAATCAAAGAGTAACTTGCAGTCAGTGGTATTTCCATGCATCTGTTGTCATAACCTTCTTGATGATCGAGCAATGCTCAAAATACATGGGGACAGCAGGTGTATTCACCATTGAAATTTTCAAAACACCAGGGACTTTAAATCACAAGGACAGACCTATCAGAGGAAATTCACCACCCACCACCAGTAACATCACCATAAGTACGCAGTGAGGAGGAGGCAGTAAGGACTGCAGATGCTGGAAGTTAGAGTCGATAAATGTGGAGCAGGACAAACACAGCAGGTCAGACAGTATCCAAGGAGCAGAAAAGTCAACATTTCGGGCTGAAACCCTTCATCAGGACTGGGGACGGGGAGGGGAGCCCAGAAATAAATAGAGGGAGGGGCTGGGGCTGAGGCTGGGGAGAGGGTAGGTGAGATGGGGATAGGTGGATGCAGGTAGGGAGTTATTGTGGTTGGTCAATGGGAATGGTGGAGCGGATAGGTGAGTCAGAAGATGGGCAGGTTGGGGGAGGAGAGATTTTGAAGTTGATGAAGTCAATATTCAGGTCATTGGGCTGTAAGCTCCCAAGGCAAAGTGTGAGGTGTTGTTCCCTCCAGTTTGCATTTGGCCTCACTCTGACAGTGGAGGAGGCCAAGGATGGACATGTCACCAGGGGAGTGGGAGGGGGAGTTAAAATGGATGACTTTTGGAAGGTCACGTTGGTTGGTGCGTGCAGAGCGCAGGTGCTCCACACATCGGTCCCCGAGTCTGCGTTTGGCCTCCCTGATACAGAGGAGGCTGCATCGGGAGTAACGGACACAGTAGATGAGGTTAGATGAAGTATAGGTGAATCTCTGCCGGATTTGGATGGACTGTTTGGGACCTTGGATAGTGGTGAGAGGTGTGGTGTAGGGGCAGGTGTAGCACCTCCTGCATTTGCAGGGAAAGGTACTGGGTGTGGTCGAGGGGTTGGTGAGGAGTGTGGAGATGATGAGGGAGTCACGAAGTGAATGTTCTCTGTGGAAATTGGACAGGGGTGTGGAGGGAAATATCTTTTTGGTGATGGGGTGTGACTGTAGGTGGTGGAAATGTCGGACGATGATGCATTGTATTCAAAGGTTGGTGGGATGGTATGTGAGGACCAAGGGGACTCTATCGTTATTGTTGTTGGGGGGGATGAGGGTTTGAGGGCAGAAGCGTGGGAAATGGGGAAGGTGCAGTTAAGGCCATCCTTAATAACCGAGGAGGGGAATCTACAGTCTCTAAAGTAGGAGGATATCTGGGAAGTCCTAGAGTAGAAGCCTCATCGTGGGAGCAGATGCAGCAGAGGCGGAGGAATTGAGCAGGGGATTGAATTTTTGCAGTGGGATGGGCGAGAGGAGGTGTAGTTGATGTAATTGTGGGAGTCAGTGGGTTTGAAATGGGTGTTTTGAAGGCAGTGAATCAGTTACCGGAGATGGAGACGAAGAAGTCCAGGACGGGGAGGGAGGTGTCAGAAATGGTCCAGGCGAATTTAAGGGTGCAGTGGAAGGTGTTGGCAAAGTTGATGAACTGTTCGAGTTCCTCGCGGGAGCACGAGGCAGCACTGATAGTCATTGATAAAGCAGAGAAAGGGAGGGGGGGATGGTGCTGGTATAGTTGTTGAAGAGTTGCTTTTCCAATCACAGGCTAGGTAGGCTCCAACGTGAAGCGAGGGGAACTTAAAGGAAGGTGGAGTGGGAGGCTATGATAGAGAGAGAACAGTTTTAAACCTGTCAACAGATCTCTGAAACCTGTCAGCTAACTAGGCGGCAGGAAACCTTGAAATTGCAGGTAACAAATTCCTTGCAAGTGCACAGAGAGTCTCTAGTTTAAAGCTGCAAATGTCCAGGTGTTACAATATGAGGTGAAAATGCAATGCATCCTCTTTTAATGAACGCTATCAATTGTTAAGTTTAAATTTGAGATTGAGATATGAGATCCTGTAAAAAGAGTCGCGTCTGCCTGGTTAAAATAATCCAACTTTGTATACATGTGATAGAAGCACATTTGCTGTGACCTTATCAGTCTGTGAAAGATATATTTAGGTGTGAGATGAGTTTTACGTGTAGAAGTGTGCATCATTATTTTGAAAGAAACCTTTGTTGCTAATTTCTGCCTATTGTCTTGTACCAATTTAAACAGTGTGTCTCAAAAATTAATACTTTCCTTGTTTTTGTAGCTTTGAATTAATGGTAGGTCAGTAATTATTGAGGAGAATGACAAATTTGTCTAATTTTGCTTCTTTGCGAGCCTAAATACAGAAGATATTGTTATTACGTGACTGCATCATCTAATAAATGATTTAATATGAATATAAAAAGAACAGTGGAAAACCAAAAAAGAAACCTCAAGAAAGAGCCCTGGTAGAAGAAAATATTTTGTGTCCTGTGGTCGGGGTCTCAAGATTGGATGGCACTTTTGCAGAAACCTTTGCAAGTTGCGGCAGTGCATCTTGTACTACTGAGCATCAGTGGTGAATGGGATGCAATTTACTCACCATCTATTCAGCCATGGCCGAGTTTTGTTTAACCCACTATCTTATTTAGCCTCTCAAAGTTCCTTCATTTTTGCCTTGAGAGTTATTCAACTACCACTCCTTTCCAACAAATGACTGACCATATGTCAGTTTGTTCTGTTCAGATTATGATCTTAAATGAGAAGTTGGCAGCCTCCCTGTGTATTTCGATATTTTATTTCAGATGTCCATTATTTTGCATTTTATAACAAAAAAATCTTTGAAAACTACTACAGTTTATTTTCTTCATTTGTTTCCCCTGCACTTAGCAAGATTGAAACCTGAGGCTCACTGTAAGAACTCTTGGGCGCAGGCAAGTGAAGTAGTGAGAGCAGATTGAATGCTAACTTTCAAAAGGGAATTGCATAGGGACTGTAAAAGGGAAACATTGGCAAGGCCATAGCGACAGAGCAGGTGAGTGGCACTAATTGGACAGCTGTATCAAAGAGGCACAGGCACAATGGGCTGAATGGCCACCTCGCATTTTGTGTGATTCTTTGGTCATTGTTTTTTGTCTGCCCTTTCTGTGCCAACTCCTGCTTGGGTGCAGTCCAGTGTGAGCTGACAGCCCTTATGGTACCTCTGCCAAGTGGGTATCCCAAAAACGTAAATGTAGAATTTATGGTTACCTGTGGCTGGTACCAGAGCCAAACCTGATCTGGTAGCGGCACATGGATCAATGGGTAGCAATCAAATGCAGAAGCTGTGACTTATTTTCCTTTTATTCTGCAAATCAGTAATACTGAGGCAAATTACAGTGCTTCTGTTGTCACCAATTAAGGTGAGACAACTCAGCATTTACGTTCCTCTGAACTATTCCTGCCTCTGTACAGAACCTGAGGTCCTTGAAAGGACCTTCTGCAGGCTGATCAATGTGGGTGGACCCTCCAAGTGGCTGTTCAGAGGGGAAAATAAACAGAAATTGCCGGAAAAACTCAGCAGTTCTGGCAGCATCTTCAGCACTTTGGAGGGAATACTGCTCAACCACAAACCAGGGGTCAAATAATGAGTAACTTTCGTAGCAGATCCTTCTCAATGTGTAACAAATGGACGTCTGGAGTTAATTTGCCAGCAGGTTAAAATGTAGATGTTTGTCCTATTCAGGTTCAAGAATTCAACACTATAATTTCCTTGCCAATTCTTTGTCAGTGCTTGCGAAGTATATTGATTACTGCAGACATATAAATGTACCACATTGTCTGAAATGTGCCATGGGATGTCCTGAGGTTGCAAACAATGCTATATAAATACAACTCTCCCATCCTTTAGATGGCAATGTTCCATTTCTAGTGAGCAGTGTTTAAGACGCAGGACTGAATTGTCCCAATGGCTGGGCCAGGGGCTTGGTCACGTGTTGTGAGTTTTATTTTCTCCTTTCCTACTGCTAGTGTTATCCAATGGGGAAGAGACCACAGAGGATGTGGTGGATGCAGGAAGTCTCCTGGAAGTCTTGAGGATGTACAAGTGGCAGATGTCTTCGTTTGAAGAGCAGGTAAATAGTAGAATATCAAAGAGCCTGTGTTAGACCAGTATAGTCACAGTTGAGGAACACGACTGTTGCCTGAACGCACACAGTTGCACTTAGAAGAAATCTTGCACGATTGATGCTGTTCAGTAAAGTTGTCGAGTTTTCCCCATGCCATCAATGATGGGATACCTAGTGAGCTTCCCTCAGTAATTCTTTAAACCTAGAGGAGAGATCCTGATAAAGAACAGTCTCTGCTGCACCAGGCCACATGACTGTTTCTATGCTGTAATTTCTGAGGTTCTCTATATTGTCATTCATAGCAACACCAAGGATCATTTACCTCCAGAAAGGTAATGACTCTCCATTTCATTGCGGTATTGTCACTGAGAGCTCTTGGGACAATGTTGTCCATGCATTTCTGTATTATATTCACACGCGATTACCTTTTAAGTAACGGTCTGGCAAAATGAAAAATTTGTAAATTCCTGCCACAGTCCTTCCTAAGTCATTTCTTCTCGTGTATGAGATTGCTCATTACCATCACGTCTCACACTTTTTCTGCCCTCTTTCCCTGCCGTTCATGTTGACTTGTGTTTTCAGGATGCTCACGAGTTGTTCCATGTTCTCACCGCGGCTTTGGAAGACGAACGAGATCGCCAACCTCGAGTTGCACATTTATTCGACGTTCAGTCTCTGGAGGTAAAATGGCTTTACGTAGGAATCATTTTCCACTCGTTGTAAACTCACCACCAGCTTCTCAAGGGCAACGAGGGATATGTAATAAATGGGCAATGCCCACGTCCCATCAGTGAATTTAAAAGAAGTGACTACAGGACACGTGGCAAGTGAGGCCTCGTGCTTAGGAGAAGCTTGACCACCCTTTATGTCCAGACCCGAAATAGCCTTTTAAAAAGAGACGGTGTACAAACACTGAATATTCCAATCGCTGTAGTTGCCTGTTTCACCATTTTGCACAGGATGTGTTGGAAAATAATTTGCAACAAGCACACAGTGCTGGAGAAACTCAGCAGATCTGTTAGCATCAGTGCAGAGAAATAGAGTAACCGTTTTGAATCCAATATGACTGTTCTTCAAAACGATGGTAACTTGCATTTTACGTGGCATGTTTTAAATCAGGGCAGGTTCAAGCAGATTTACACTGAAAGTTCTGAGGCACAGAGAAGGGTTCTTTTTTTTCTAATGAGCCTTGCATTGGTAACATGTGTTAAAACTTGTCGACGAGATTTTGAAACATTGAGGCTTCACTGGGTAAGAGCCAATTGACTAATTTCTCATTCGTTAACTTGAGATAGATCATAGAATCATCATTGAATCCCTGCAGTGTGGAAACAGGCCCTTCGGCCCAACAAGTCCACACCGACCCTTGCAGCATCCCCCTACAACCCAACTAATCGACACATCCCTGAACAATATGGGCAATTTAGCATGGCCAGTCCACCTAGCCTGCACGTCTTCGGACTGTGGGAGGAAACCGGAGCACCCGGAGGAAACCCATGCAGATGTAGGGAGAATGTGCAAACTCCACACAGTCAGTCGCCCGAGGCTGGAATCGAACCCGGGTCCCTGGTGCTGTGAAGCAGCAGTGCTAACCACTGAGCTACCGTGCCACCCCAGATAGTCCCCATTCATTTTGAGAATAGCAGAAGCTTGTTATTACAGTGTCTAGAGGGGAGGAATTGGGGATGGGGTGGGAAGAACTACCTATTTTAACAAGAAGGAAGTTGGAACCGCCCAGTTACAGCAAACACAGAATAATAAAAGGAAAAGAGCTTGAAGTCAGAAATGCAATCTGAGATGGGAGTGACAAAAACAGAAGTTGCTGGAAAAGCTCAGCAGATCTGGCAGCATTTATGGAGAGAGATCAGAGTGAACATTTCGGGTCCAGTGACCTTTCCTTAGAAGACTAGAGATGGGATTGAGCCTAGTGAAGGAAAACTACATGTTTGACTGTAATCAAAATCTGATGAAAAGTTAACTTTGATCACATGGAGTAATATGATCTCTTTTCATGTATTCATTGTTATGATTATAAATCCCTACGTTCCTTTGCTGTTTGTGAAATAAAGTGGCTTAACACCAATCCGCAACAAATAACCCGAATGCTTCACAGACTAATGAAGAGCCTATAAGAGCAAGTTGACACCAAGATCAGTCAGTGTGGTAGGTTATAAGGAACATCTTAAAGGAGGGCTGAGAGGAGAGGGAATTCCAGAACTTAGGCCCTACTCCCTGAGTTACCACTGAGTGATCGGGTGAAGGAAATGGAGGATGGACAGGAAACCAGACAGGTAATAATGTAAAAACCAAAAGAACTGCGAATGCTGTAAATCAGGAGCAAAAACAAAGTTGCTGGAAAAGCTCAGCAGGTCTGGCAGCATCTGTGAAGGGAAAAAACAGAGTTAACGTTTCCGGTCCGGTGACCCTTCCTCAGAACTGGGGAAGTTCTGAGGAAGGGTCACTGGACCTGAAATGTTAACTGTATTTTTCTCCTTCACAGATGCTGCCAGACCTGCTGAGGTAATAATGTAGAGCTCATGGAGAGTTTCAGAGCTGGAGGAGGTTATGGAGCTAAGGATAGGCAAGGTCATGGAGTGGTCTGAATGTGAAGATCAGAGTTTTAAATTCAAGGCATTGGTAGACTGAGAGCCAATGTAGGTTCTTCAAGAGTAGGATAATGCATGAACAGGGCTTGGTGAGAGTCAGAATATGGGCGGCTGAGTTCTGTCTGACTGAAATGTGGCAGATGTGAGGACATATGTAAAAAACACAGTATCCAGTTCTGAGTGTGAGTCAGTACGATGCGATATCATCAACATTCCCCTTGGCTTATACTGTGGATTAAATGGATAGTCAGCATTATGACTGTTGTCCGAAATGCAAAAGGTGCCTGTCTCAAACACACATAACCCAGGATAATATCAGATTGGATCTTTGTTACTTGATCACAAAAATGTCTCATTCATTCTTCCTCAACCAAATCCAGCTTCTAATTGTAAAAAATTAGAAACCCTGCAGCATTGGGTCATTTCAAACCTATGAAAAACATTTTACTTTTCTTACCTGGTCCATGACTGAAATCAGTAAGTTCCTTCTTGGTTTTTAGAAGAAAAGTATATAATTCTGTCTTCAACCAATCTGTATCTCTGGTTTTGTAGACTCCAACAGAACTGGAGGGAAAACAGCTGAGTTGTAGGAGCCGAGGTAAGGAGCTTTATTCCATAAGAAACTGTACTAACATATGTCTTGATCCAACGTGCGTTAGTAAATCTGACTGCGTAGTGAGAGACTGCAAAACAGCATCTTGACTGGAGAGATTTAAGCTCTGCAATTTCTTAGTACTGGCAGGCACGCCTGGTGTAAGGAGATACTAGAAAGTTGTAGGATTGAGTTCTGATTTGAAGGAGTAAGCATGATAAGGCCTTGCACTGGCCTTGGCTCTGTGTATTTATCTAAAAACCACACCCCTGCATTCAATTTTCAAAGAATGCTACTTGTACATTTAGTTTAAAAGTCACCCATAACATAAGAAAAATGCCTCAAAGCGCCTCACAGGAGTGTTATCAAACAAAACTTGACACCACATGAGATAAAGTAAAATTGGGACAAGTGATTAAAAAGTTGGCCTGAAGTGGTGGATGTTGAAGGAGATGAGAGAGCTGGAGAGGCACAGAGAGAAAATTCCAGAGCCTAGGGCTCAGTTGAAAGCACAGCTACTAATGGTGGAGCAAAGGTGATCTGGGAAGTGCAAGAGTTGTGCACATCCATGCTTTTCTTCATGTTTCTCCATCCAGATTTTGTTCATCACTGAGGTGACAGTTGTTGATGCTGAAGAGCAGACTTGCCATTTTTTTTGTGCTAGTGTTAACCTCACAAGTGTTCAGATGACGAGAAACACTGTTAGATCTAGAGTAGAATGCTGTTCACTACATGCTAATTGTGTGCCTCATCCCCACATAGACAAAAGTACTTCCTGCCCTGACCAGTGTGACATATTTCTATTTCTAACTCCGAGTAAAATTGCAAAATTCTGAGCAGTTGTGGATCCATATTCATGTAAACGGTCAAAACTCAAATCAAGAGACTAGTGCTAGGCTATGGGGTAAGTATTGCCTGGCCTCAATGATAGAATGTGCCTCACTTCCAAATCAGGGAGATCACTAGATAATAATCATTAGCTATTTCTCCAAAGATTATATTTTTCCTTTGCAACCTGATCCTGGAGAACTGAAATCAGATGTAGCGCTAGGAGTGATTTATTAACTTGGCACAGTGCAGAGTTCAAAGCAGAGCAGACCACCTTGTCTCTTAGCTCAGAAATTGCTGTTACCTAGAGATTCAAGTTGAGCATATTTTCTGCAAAATGTCACAAATTTTACCTTATTCAATCTGACTTGAGTAAACATGAGCTCAATCCAATCACGTCCCAGTAGTTATTTATTGTTATTCATTTGTTTCAAACTTTATTATTACAGCTCATAATTCTAGCTGGTTTTCTGAGATTGTTTTGTGTCCTTTTTACAGCAGCCATTAAAATTGAACTCCTCTAAATTATGTATGCATGGAACAAACTAACTCATCATTGGTTAATTCATCTTCTACCTATTTATCATTTAAGGGCCTTTGCTGCCGCCACCAAGTCCCTGGAGATCTCAGCACCCCTTCCATGGCCGACTGACCAGTAACATGGTGTGCAAACGGTGTGAGCAACAGGTGGGTTTGCATGAAGAAAGATATCACTTTACCTAACACTGACTGTGCTTGGAGGCAGTGGAGTGTGGATCCACCAGATTAATAGCTAGGATCTAAGGGTTAAATTAAGAGGAGAAGCTGTACAACTAGTGTTGTATTGTCTGGAATTCAGACGGTTAAGGTGTGATTTGATTGACGTTTTCAAGATATTAAAGGCAACAGGTAAGTTAGATAGAAATAATTTAGCCGGGGAGTCCAGAGATAGGGGACGTAGTCTAAAAATTAGGGCCAGGACTTTCACAAGTGAAATTAGGAAACTTCTCAACATCCAAATAGCAACTGATGCAAGATCAGTTTTAAACTTTAAAATGGAGATTAAGTACATTGAATATCAAAAATCTATCAAGGGATGTAGAATGAAGGCAGACTTGGCCATCAGCCATCACCAGAGTCAGGACAGGTTCAAGGTGCTAAGTGGCCTGCTCGTATGTCTGTGTAAAGATGTGTACACACACACACACAAAGACACACACACA